GATCGGATTACATGACGTTTAGAAATATTATGATGAAACAATATGTCAATAACTTCGTTTTTAAATGCAAATTACATAGATAAAATAAGCACAAAAACACAAGCCACAATTAATGTTAGTTAACGTCTGTAAATAAATAGAAATAGCCTACTCGGAGAGTCCTGTTATTATTATAATGGAAAGTCATATTTCAAAAGGCGCATTTCATTTGATGAAGGTCTAAATAATGTTTGAACCCTTTTAAAATCCAGCATGCTCATATTTCACTGACAGATCCATAAAGCATCCACAGATGATCTCTGTCTCCGCAGTTCACGGAGATTACGAGGAAACAACACGGAACATTAGGCTACAGATGCGAAACATAGTCACAATTATAACAAAGCTGATTTACACATATTAATCTACTGCATAATAGGCTAATGATGATATCACACAAGGAGAAATCTTTAGATATTATCAGCATCAGTGAGTTTAATATCAGAAGACTGAATTAAATAAAACTCTGGGAATTAAACCGTCGCTGAATAGTTGCATTTCATTTTAGACTTTTTTTCCCTTGCGAATTAGCCTATATATATTTTGATATATTTATATCTTTTTAGCAACAAATCATGAAGTTACAAGGTCTCAAGTCATTTGTAAAACTGTAACATATTCTTGCAACATTTTATACGCTAAAAATGGCGAGCTATTTCCAAAAACAGGCTAATAATACAATTTTTCGTTATTAAGCTTTAATAGGCCTAAGAGAGAGGCAGACAACAGGCGACGCGTATTCATATTTCATACGTGTAAAAAACTCTTGATTAAACAAGTGATGAGTTACAAGATCTTTCACAATGAGCGTAATTAAATATTTTCCGCATTTATCTATTGATAACTATGATATCGCGTAAAAAACGGTTAAGTTTGTTCTAAACGGAACGTTTAAATAATCAAATTAGCGGCTTTTAATATCATTAGCGACAGCGTTGTATGAGGTTAATGTACTTACTCTGCCAGAGTCATAAAGTAAACGCGTCTATTGTGTCAAATGTTGAAACAATGATTTCTACAGTGCGACGCGTCATTAAAGGCGCTACAATACGAGCTTGATGGAGTGCGGCTTTGTCCAGGTTACGCGCATGCAAATTCCCCGCCGCGCTTCCTCCAATCAGAGAATGGCGTCACTTAGCGTAATCCAATAGGAGACACGCGCTTGCCGGTTATCAGCTCGTCATCACTGATAGAGTCCATTGACCGGAGATCGGCGCCTCAGATGCGGGGATCGAAGCACTCAAAGCGGGCGTGAGATCTGCCGACGACCGCTGTCTGGATTCTGCTTCGGAAACTCTTACACGCGCCTGAATTAGGACACTTCTGTATGGGGAAACATTCGCAAAACTTGTGAAACGCGCAGTATTCGTTCCCTTGGATGAGTTGTTGCACTAAACTTTGTTGTACTACTTTGTATGTGTGTTGTTGTTTGGCGGTTGATCGTGTGGTTCACACGCACCGATGTTAGCGGTCGGGCAGATGGATAGTAACCGGCAGAGTGCGTTCGTTCTGGGCAGCACTCCACTGGCTGCGCTGCACAACATGACCGAGATGAAGACCTCTTTATTCCCGTACACCCTGCAGAACCCCGCGGGCTTCAAGGCTCATTCTTTCGCCAACCTGAACTCTCAGATCCCGCTCGGAACACCGCATGGAATAAGCGATATCTTGGGGAGACCCATCACCACGGCCGGACAGATTCTCTCGGGCTTTCCCCGGATCAACGGCTTGGCCACCACAGCTGGGATGTACTTCAACCCGGCGGCCGTGTCTCGGTATCCCAAACCCCTGACGGAGCTGCCCGGCAGGGCGCCCATATTCTGGCCGGGAATGATGCAAGGGTCGCCCTGGAGAGACCCGCGGGTTGGCTGTCCGGGTGAGTTTTCCTGGCCTAAATGACAATCTAAAAAAAAAAATAAAGGTTCCAAAAGGGTTTTTTTCACTGTAACCTTTTGGATTCCACAAATATCCAAATAATAATAATAATGAAATAAACGAGTATATACAAAAATAATAAATAACAACAATACTTTCAGTTTATTACTAATATATTAAAATATTTTTTTCTAACATTTTAACAATCCAAAGAACATATTTCCTATTTAGTTTTTTGTGTGTGGCTAATGGAAAGATTCCATTAAAGGTTCTTAATGGAACCACCCTAGGCCAATAGGCTAAATAACCGTATTTTTAAGAGTCGCTCAGATTGTTGGGATATTAATTTGTAGTGCGTCTAAAAGTTATCCGTGTTTGTCTAGTGATATGACAACCATATTCCCCCATAATGTTACGTTAAATGTCTTTATTTGGCTGACCGTGTCTCGTTTTCTTCAGCCCAGACGAATATGATGCTGGACAAGGATGGCAAGAAGAAACATTCCAGACCAACTTTTTCAGGACAGCAGATTTTCGCGCTGGAGAAAACCTTCGAACAGACCAAATACCTGGCCGGTCCAGAGAGAGCTCGCCTCGCATATTCTCTGGGCATGACCGAGAGCCAAGTCAAGGTAGATAGACACGGGGTTTTATTGACTTTAACATATGAAGAGTTCAGATGCAAAAGCCTCTAAGTGCCATTTGAAATTTTCTTCTAAAATGATCAATTTTATCAAGCTTGTATATGTAAGTTCAGTAATTTCACTTAAATGGCAATGAAGATACCTATTAATTGTCATTTAAGTGAAATTACTGAACTTAAATATACAAGCTTGATAAAAATGGTCATTTTAGAAGAAAATTTCAAATGGCATTTAGAGGCTTTTGCATCTGAACTCTTCATTACTTATCATTTATTCAATGTAAATGGCAGCATGAGTCAATGCTAAGATTATCACATCTATGGAAGTGTCAGTTGGGCTGTGTGCGATACCGTTAAAACCGTTGGGTTCAAATTTTAATTAAAAAAATTAAACCAACGGTTTAAACGGTACGAGTCAACTTCGTGCAGATTTGACCCAAATATATGTGTTGAAACAACCCAGAATTGTTTAGAGTATATTCATTTACAAACAAGCTCAACATTTTATTATTTCGAAATGAAAATTATTGGGATTATTGCGGTCAATGTTGCACATCATTTCACACACTCTCTGGTCAACCTGAAATTCATTTAACACTTTAGTTCAATTTAGATGAATTAATTATTTTTGCAAAAGCTTGGTTTAATTGGTTGAATTGTTGCATGTATCCCAGAGAAGGCCAGTGTGCTTAAGTGTTTTTCTGTCTCTCTCTCAGGTTTGGTTTCAGAACAGAAGAACTAAATGGCGGAAGAGGCACGCGGCTGAAATGGCCACGGCTAAAAAGAAACACGACTCAGAGACGGAGAAAATGAAGGAGAGTTCGGACAACGAGGAGGATGATGAATATAACAAACCTCTGGACCCGAACTCCGACGACGAGAAAATCACAAGACTGTTAAAAAAGCACAAGACGAGTAACCTGTCACTCATCAGCCCGTGCAGTAACAGCTCGGACACTTTGTGATGAAACTGAGCGAAAGACTCTTCATTATCATCATCATCTGCCTCAGATTCTTCTGGGAAAATGAGGCAGAGTTAAGCAGGGTATATCACACTGTTCACGCGGCTTTTGCTTTGCTTTGAATGCGGTTGTACAGTTAGAAGTGGACGTGAGATGTATATATATTTTTTACTGAGTAAATTATGTTATGAACGCATCACGAAGACGTGCCAACTTTTCCCCATCATCATCATCATCATCATTTAAGATCATCTTTGTCTTCGATCGCAGAAGAATAACGACGCCTCTTTCGCCTAAAAGTTTCACTTTTTTATTATTTTGAAAACAGGTACACAAAGTGTATAAAAGTGCCAGTGCTGTAAATGATGTGAATAGAATTTGTTTTAACAATGTCCTATTGGCCGCTTATACTTTCAATGGAAGGAGTTTATGTTTTACCTCACAACACGAAAAAAATCTACTCCAAGATGGACATAAATATCGATGAAGAGAATATTATTGCTTCCGTGATGAAGGAAGAAAAAACTTTGTATTATCAATAAATTATTTAACAAGCCAATATTTTACATTTGTCCAGGTTCTTTATAATTTCATGCATTTGTTTACTGTTGTTTAAACCATTTTATTGTGTTATTGTAGCGCATATTTTGCGCGAAAGGTGCAAATAAATGTACAGCCTATTATATATCCGTGCATTAATAAACTATTATTAATAGCATAATAATGATAATAAAATTATTACCAATAAGATGATAAACATTCATTCGCCCCTTCCCTTGTAATAAGAGAATATTTCGTTTCTTTTCATGGTTACTTGGTGACATTCAGTTTTTATTTTTAAAAGCCCAAATAATGCATTCACAGATTTTCTGATGCATTCCTTATTCTAAACGAGCCTTTTAGCGAGTAAATCATTTAACAGATTTCAGGAAGGCTAACTTTTATTGTCAGCGTTATTCGCGAAATTGAGTAATGCAAATGTCTCGTAACCCCATCAACCCTTAAAGAGACCTTATACAATTTGTGTGTGTGTCATATATACATTTGTTTTTAAAGTTATGCCTATAAGTAATGACAGTACTTCGCACACGATTTCGATATGGATAGTAACGAAAAACGCGCGTAGCGATCGCGATCTCGCGAGCATCTGTAACTAAGTGTAATCTAACATTTGTGGTTACAAAAATGTTCGTAAACGTTGTTAAAAAGTGTTGTATATATATAATTACATGACATATGTCTGAATCTTTAGTTTGTGTGAGTTTTATGCGTCATGCGACAAATTTAATCCCGAGACATATTAAAACATCTTTCCGTATTATAATGTAATATTGTTGATACCCCCCCCCCCCCAAAAAAAAAAAAAACCCAATAAATGTTCATACACGATCATCTACAATGAAATACATCTAAATGTCAAAGGCTTGTTTAGCGAATCTCGAGGGCTTTGGTGTGCTTGACTAATGACAAAGAGGCATTGATTCATTGATTCATTCACTGAGTTCTAATGGTTTTATTGCTTTTGGAGGTCTTGCCATCCGCGAGGTCTAATCGCTATCTGCTTAAAGAAAGAGTGAATCCTATCTCCTGACCTGCTGCATGGGGAAAACAGTTAACAAGCAGTTTTTCTAAGCAAATCACTGTCAAGGCGACACAAAATCATTCCCACTGACTCAGAAATGAAGGATCCATCTACTCTGTCAACTCTGTAGTGTAGAATTAAACCAGGAGAAGCAAACGGCACTGATGCTGAGAACACACACACAAACATGAGGAGTTAACACTCACACTTTACTGTACAGTGTTCATGTAACAGTGTGATCCCAGTAAAACTTCATATGTGATTATGTTTGTAAAAACACATGTTGTGTAAAACGGCCACAGTAAAGTAAAGTGTAAAGAAGTTTCTCCTGGTCCTTAATTTGAGTGTTTCTCCTCTTACAGCTGAACTGAATCATAACTTAAACTCTACATTTGACTGAGTTCAATTCAATAGTTGGCACCATGGCACAATAATATAGAAACAAAAAAAATCATACAAAAAGAAAAGGATACAGCTATTTGTAAGATACCCAGGCCTATTAAAATATCACATTCAGAACCATAACATTATTACACAGAAATAAGTTAGAGTAAGAACAGTACTGTAATAACCGAGCAAGACTGCTATCCAAACTATCGTATATATTTGCATGGTTTATGGCACTGCTTAAAAAAAATAATTAAATTGGCTATATATATATTTATATATATAAATCATATTGGCTGAAATGGCATATTCTGCTAATAATGACGTGGATTTCGCAGTTTGTTTAGAACTATTCAAACATGTGAAACGTTACACCCGAAGCAGCCGTTTGTATCAATATGTCAGCATAATAGTTTTGGTACGAATTATAAATTATCTCTTTAAAAAGTACGGTATATAAAATGAGAGTTGGCGGCGGTACGCGGCACGGCAGAGTGCAAGCAACAACACATCTGAGATCAAAGATAAATAATAATCCATAAAGAAAGAAATCAAACAGAATATACCTATCTATTCTAACACAAAGAACGTCTAGAAGTGTATCTCCATTAAAGATAATCCAATGTACAAATAAACCTAACAATAGAGAAATACAACAACATGTTTTTTTGCATTGCACCTTTTAAAACATCTTACATCCTGGATACGGAAGAAGCTTGTAATATTATCAAGAGGCGTATCTAAAAGATTAAAATCTGTAGAGTAATTTCAGGTGGTCTATATTAGAGTTTTGGAAACAAGGCTGAGAGACGTCAGAGAAGAGCATCTGATGGCGATTGAGTGGAAGTGTGTGTGTGTGTGTGTGTCCATGATCTCGACTCTTGAAGCATTCATGAACTCAATGTGTCGTTTCTATGGACGTGATTGCATGCACTGCGACAAATGCGACTGGTCAGTCCTGCTGAAAAGTCTTTACAGAGTCCTCTGTTTGCATGTGTGTGTGTGTGTGTGTGTGTGTGTGTCCATCCACCCATGTTGGAGCTTTGCACAGGGCCGCTTTTCATGAAATCTTCTCCACCTTTTGGCACCGATTTCCTGGCCAACACACACACACACATAGATCATGAGAACTTCTGCACGTCTATCATGAGATATAACTGAGCAATATTCATAAAGATAAAATGAATAAAAGAAAATATTTACCACATCACTGCACGACACAACACTTGTGCTTATTTGCATTAGGTTTACCTGCCCCTGTGTTTAACCGAAAGTACAAGTAGACCGGCTGCAGAAACACACACAAGACATCAGCGTTTCACAAGTTCTGGAGAGGAGCTGTGCTATTACTCCTTTAAGAGCACACACCCACACACACACACACACACACACACACACACACACGTCTGTCTGAACTGTTCTTCCATGGGTGCTAAATTCACTTACATTTCTAGAACATCTGAATGTGATTTTGGCGGGTGTGTGTCTGTCTGGTTACACACACACACTCACACACACACACACACTCTCTCTAAAACAACATTTTGAAATAAAAAAAAGTAGTAGTTATACAATAAAAAATATTATTTAGCAATATTTAACTAAAGACTATAACTATAGCAAACTTTAAAATAACAGTTTAAAATTGTATAAATAAAAAAATAGACAAAAATCAGTAAAAAAAATACATATTCTTTATAATTCAGCTCGAATAACTAAAAGTAAGTTTAATTAAAAAAGATTATTCATTTGAATCTATTTGTGCTTTTTATAGTTTTTATAATGTCTCTCTCACACTGTTAACAGGGCGGGCCTCATTTGCATACTGAATTCCGATTGGTATTCTTTCCAGAATCTATTTGCATACTGGATTTTGATGGTCTTGACTGTCTTATATCTATTTCACCATCAATGGAGGAACAGAAGTGTGTGTGTGTGTGTGTGTGTGTGTGTGTGTGTGTGTGATTCAGACCCAAACAAGCTGTTCTAGCTGTTCTGTTCTCAGTACAAGTGAAATAATAAAACCACTGACATTTAATATTTATATAAAGTATCTATAATGACTACTGACTAACACAAACCCTTAAAACCTTTAAAAGAACAGTTCATGTTTACACATCCTCTTTAGTGTGCTACTGATGACATCACATTCCTCACCAAAGTTCATCTAAAAACACACACTCATTCACTCACTCACACACACACACACACACACACACACACTCAGTCGTACCTTGTGGTCTCCCATACACACATTGGGTCCGATGTTGTCATACGTTATTGATTTCTCCTCATTCTCCGGCTGCAAAACACAAACACACACAAAACACGATTAAAGACATAAAATGAATCCATGTAGAATACTATTATCCTGTTAGACTAAAGTGCCAATAAATCAGAGCACAAAACCTTCAGGAGCTCCAAAAGCAGCGAAAGCATTAATCATAATTCTGCTAAATTGAAAATAATGCTCTGAATGAAGCGAGACAGAAATATGATGCAGTGGACTTTAAAAAAACACGCGCGCGCAGATTGTGTTTTTCCGAGTCTGTGAAAACACCATCACAAACTCACGCCAATGAACCTCAGTAACACAAAAACACACACAACCTGAACGTCCCCGAGCCGCGATACATTCATCAAACGCAGGCTTGATAATTTACAAAGGCAGCATAAAATTGTGGATTTTCGGGTTGCGTAATCTTTAGACAGATAAACAAATGAGTGCGGGGTCCGGGCCTGCGCTTCACTGGCTCTTCATTACCTCAGCCGCGCTCGCGCCGGACCTCTGCCGTGTTAGGGCTCGGCGAGCAGAAAACAACATGACGGGGAGCTAACAGAGCGTGTCATGATAGATGAGGCTGTTTACAGGCCGTGTCTGAACAATCTGTAACGCAAACACACCGTCTGTCGGAGACACTGCACTAACACAGCGCTGGAGTGTGTGAGAGGTCATTAACGCCTGACCTGAAGGACATCACGTCATTAGAGCCGCCGAGTCAATGATGCAAACTTCATCAGCATTCACATTCGGCTAAAGCAATTCAGTTCAAGGTTTGTTCAAAGCAATGAGATTACGGAGTAAAGCAGTTGTTTCTTGATCCACGTCAATAAAAATCAAGTTATTGCACTGAAGTTTCTTCTATTTTTGTGCGTAAAAACAATGCATGCAAAAATAAGAGAAAAAAAACACTGCATGCAAAAAAATATACATGCAAAAAACCAAAAAAACAATGCATGCACACAAAAAAGAAAAAAAAGCATGCAAAAAAAGAAAAAACAATGGGTGCAAAAAATAAAAAAATGCACGAAAAAAAGAAAAACAAATGCTTGAAAAAACTGCATGCAAAAAAGAAAGAAATGCATGAAAAGGGAAAAACAATGCATGCAAAAAAGAAAAAAACAATGCATGCAAAAAAGACAACATGCAAAAAAATGCATGAAAAAAGAAAAACAATGCATGCAAAAAAGAGGAAAAACTGCAGGCAAAAAAAAAGAAAAACACTGCAAAAAAACAATTCATGCCAAAAAAATAAACTGCATACAAAAAAAAAAAAAAACACTTCTGAAAGGTAAAATCTTTTATCACAAACACATTTATCACTTTATCATAACCTGCTTCATATTGTTTCTTATTATTCATTCTATCCATATTGCCACTTATTGTTTTTTCTTATTATTCTTACTGGTTATTATGTACCCGCTCATATCTTTCTTATGCACTTCTACCGTCTTTCTTGACAAGAATAAACTAAATATGAACATCATAAGGTGAAGCTCAGCTCCCTGACAGACACGTCTGGTTTAATCTTTGAGAGAAGCAGAGATCTGAAGATCTATATGATTATCGTTGCATTTTTTATTGATATAATGTTTCTTGAGGCGCACTTATAACGCTAATAAGATTTCCACATCATAAACAGTCATAACGTAGAAACACAAGTCTATTTCCACCGCTTTAAACGAGGAGCGTCTCCTTTAAGACTGTGAACGCCCACTGCTATTTACATATGAAATAAGTATAACTCACGTGGAACTGATTATGAATCACAGAATAAGTGCATTAGTTTTACGTGCACTCCATCAAATGTCCATTTTAATGTGTTTAATGTGTTCAAGTGTAATTAACCCTGATTTTTAATCATTTCTGAATGAAAATCCTCTAATCAGACACATTTATTAATCAGCATAAAATAAATGCAATGCAACTACTGGGATGTATGCTTTCAGTGGATTTAAAATATGATTTAAAAAAGAGATTCATTACGTAGATCAAGAAAAATAGTCATTTTGACAATTTAAAGCGGTTTATGTTCTAAAACTTAGTGTTTTTACAGTGCAAAAGATCAAGGCAAATATGATTCCTCAATGCATGACATCTTTGCATCAGATTAATGAACAATCTGCCAAGATGAAAGACAGAAGTGGATGTGTGGAGATCTGCCGGTTTAACACTGGTGTGTCTCTCTCACCTTCATGATCAGGTCTTTGGCCGAGGAGGACATGAGGATTCGGTCGCACCAGGAGGGACATCGAGTGTTCATGTACTGCTTTCCCTGACTGGAGTCCTCACTGTACGGGTAACTGCGGGAACACAGCGATCAGATCGAGCGTTAGCATGTTAATGATGGAGATCCTGCATCAGATCAGAATCAGTGACACGTGTGGAACATCATCTCATATTCATATCGCTTTCTTTTTTAAAACCACGCCCATCTTCACTGCGATGATTTGTGAAATTATTTTTTATAACAATTAAACAAATTTAACAATTACATTTTTATAACAAGTTTCCCTCTATGATTACAAATGCAACACCACATTTAGTTTTTTGTAATCAGCATAAAATAAATTAATTATAATCAAAATACTGTACTTTCATGCATTTTTAAATGCACTTCAAATAATATGATTTAAATAATTATAGCATTGATTAAAAGTTTTGTGATACTTTCAATCGTGTTTTTAAATAATTTCATTTAAATAACATATTATATATTTTTTTGTGCAAAAATACTGACATTTAGTTGTATTTTAAAATGTACTTTAAACAAAAAAATTCAGTGCAACAACACAGTGATGTCAATTTTAAATAATATAATATTAAAAAAGTTACATTATTTTATTCTTCCAAAAAACGACTGTAATGTATACTTTCCATTCCTTTTTAAATAATATCACAATAAATATGATATTTTCTTCAAAATAAGATATTTGGTTGCAAAAATACTGAGATATTTCTCAAATAATAAATTATACTATACGATCAGTTCTACTGTGATGTATATTTTCAATTGTGTTAAAATGTACTTTAAAATTAATCATATATTATTTAAACATTTCTTTCTTTCTTCTCATTATGAGATTCTTTTGCAGAAACTACTTAATTCTTTTTTAAATCTTACTATAAAATAATATTAGTAAAACAAAACTTTCAATGGTGTTTTAAACATGCTTTAAATAGTATAATATTTAAACAATATAATATATAAATATTATATTATTTCCTTAAAAATGTCATATTTCGAAAACAATAAAATATAGTATAAAATAATTTCAGCAAAACAAAAAACGTTAAATTGCGTTTTAAATAACATAATATTAAAATTTTTCTTCAAAATATGAGATTTGTTGTGCAAAAAATTTGTTGTACAAAACACTTGTCAAATGATAAATTATAGTATAAAATCAACAAAAACTACGATGATGTATATTTTCAAAAGTTTTAAAACGCACATAAAATAAGCAGCATTTCTCCTCGATACAACAGGCTAATAATAGTTGTGTAGAAAATGTTTAAATGTCATGGAAATAGCGCACACTTTTATTTTAACACATTTTCTTTGTGCAAATGAACAGTAATCTGGAGAGTGTGCTCTGGTCAATTGAGCATGAAAGCGGATCATCACACGGCCGGCCGGCGAGTCAAACACCTCAGTGGTCAAACACACCATCAGCATCAGCCGTCGCCGCGGCAACCCAAAGGCCAAGGGTCAGAGAGGGAGGGGAACCAGTTATCCCAACACACAGGCCCCCGGCCGAGTGGCCAAACAAGACCCGGAGAGGGGCCTTTGCAGAACGCCTGAGCGCAATTAGCATTGATGGCACTTTAAGCATGTGGAAATGAAGGGCAGTTTTGGTATGCTAACGAGAGATGAGTGCGAGGATGAAAGAGGGAGAGAGTGAATGATAGTGGAGGATAGAGAAGGATAATGAGGGATAGAGATGCAGAGTGTGGGAATTAAGGGGCGGGAGAAGCTCTTTAAAGACTGAAGATTTCTTCAGGGTGGCCCGAACAATCCCGAGAGGAAGTGATCATGTGATCCTTCAGCCGGATTAACCCCATCCCAGCTTTGAAACGGATCCGGGACTGGTGTGTGTGACGTCAGAGCTAAGATGCATTTGTTTGATCAGAAATACTGTCTTCAAATTGTGAGATATTTTTACCATTTAAAATATCAGTTCTCTAAGTGAATATACAGTAAAGTGTAATTTATCATCATTACTCCAGTCTTCAGTGTCACATGATCCTTCACAAATCACTCAACAAACATTTATGATTATTATCAGTGTTCATATTTTTGTGGAAACTGATGCATTTAATTTTTCCGGATTTTTTTGTTGAATATAAAGTTCAAAAGAACAGGATTTTTTTTTAAATAGAATATTTTGTAACATTATAAACATATTTACTGTCACTTTTGATCTATTTAATGAGTCACTGATGAGGGAAAGTTCTTTTAAAAAAAAATTCAGATTTTTAAAAAATATTACTTGGACAAAACTCTCTCTCTCTCTCTCTCTAACACACACACACACACACACACACACACACACTCAACAGTAAACAGCGTGGTGGAGCCTCAGGGCTGGTGATTAATGCTGTCGATTAGCCGTTATCAGTCAGAGCAAACGCTGCCGCCGGGTGTGTGTGTGTGAACCGGAGGCCGTCAGACACTATCACACTCGTGCCAAGACTAATTACACTAATTAATGGGGCCGCGCTGATAAACTCAACAATCGCCCACCTGTGTGTGTTACAGTGAGTGAACAGTTACCCATTCCGCTAACGCTAACGCTAGCCGCTAACGCAGTCACAAGCGCTGCGGCTCAGACGGTATCGAATCATTTACTCTGTCAAACAGATTTGAGTGGCTTTAGGGCGAATGATCATTACTGGTGAACTGTGCCTTTAAGCGGTCGTGTGGGTCATGTGACCTGTTATCTTGTTCTACACAATGACAAATAAGTGACAAAGCAAACACTGATTCATTGAGACGCCTGTGTTAATGAGGGCGTATAAACGGAGAACACACACACTGAAGGAAACACTGATAATGACAGGGCAGAGGTCACATGACTATTACAGCACAGGATCATGGGATTGGACAGACCTGGAGCTGTCAATCAAATGTAGAGTTGCAAGGTGTGTGTGTGTGTGTGTGTGTTACACAACAGGAAAAAGGCAATTTCCTGAAATAATGACCTATTTAGATTGCGTTTACATTAGATGACATCGCCCAGTAAACGAGATCCTGATATAATCGCGACTGACACTCGTAACGTCAGACGATTACGAACAGAGATAACTCCTCCGGTCCCGCTGATGATGATGAGCCGGTCGAGACAATCCTCATTTTATCCATCAAAAGACACAACGTTCATCATTCATCCTGATGATGTGATGACACACACACACACACACACACACACACACACAGTGTTGGGAAAGTTCACTTGTTTCTACATTAACTAGTTCACAGTTCAGTTCACACATTTTAAAATGAACTAGTTCATTCATAATTCTTTCTTCCATAAAAAAAATTAATTGCCAACCACACACACAACAATTATTTTATCGACGGGCAGTTTGCACAGAAATGTAAGATTTTTCCCATCCTCACCGACCTCGTCATAAAACGCGTTTAAATGATCATACGACGATCCTCGCGCGCTGCTTTGTCGACGGCGGCCGCGGCGCGACACTGGTGTCTGGTGTTGCCAGATTGGGTGTTTTTTCGCTACATATTAGGGCTTGTTTACGCGTGTTTAGCCGGGTTTCACCTGGAAGGCTCTATAGAAATCTGGTGATTTAATATCAGGTAACAATATTTGGAATAGCTGAAGAGATATTTTTTCATATATAACTTTTATAGAGATAATATATCTATTTTTTTATTTTTACGATCTCTGAAGAAAAGGCATTATTGCAGATATTTGTGCATTTCAGCAGAAACAATCAGAGAGGAAATATCAGCGCTCGTGTTCAATCAGCTCTGCGGACCGGAACTAACGCCGCTATGATAATGTCATCCTCCACACCAGACACAGGCCTGTCGCGCAAATGAAGAAAAGGGAAATTAATCATTTATTAATAAGCACACTCGTTTATCGGAGTGAAAGTAAACAACACACATCCACTGGTGAAGCGACACCGAGAGCTGAGTGTGTGTGTGTGTGTGTGAGCTCTGAGTCTCAACATCCTCACCCAACGGTGAAGAATAACTGAACATGACCTCCGACCCTTCACACACACACTCATACACACACCTCACGACCCGTCGGCCAAAACGACCTCAGCAGTCTAGACTCCACAAACACACACACACACACACCATCCTGGGAATATTCCTACTCAATTTCCGCATTGATTTTACAGAGCGAGTTTCACAGTAAAATCATAAAGCATTCAATCAATGAGGGAAACGTCTTCCTTTAATCTCCATCAATATAATAATGTGCATTAATGAGTAAAATATGATTAAAAAAGGATACCAATCAAAAGAAATTATTAGGATGCATTAAATTGACTTTTATAAATGTTACAAAAGATTCTCTTTCAGATACATGCTGTTCTTCTGAACTTTATATTCATCAAAGAATCCTGAAATAAAAATGTAAATAAGAGTTTTCAACAAATAATAATCATAAATGAGCATCAGATCCTCATATTAGAGTGATTTGTGAAGGATCATGTGACACTGAAGACTGGAGTAATGATGATAAATTCAGGAATAAATTACACTTTACTGGATATTCACATAGAAAACACATGATTTACATTATAATAATATTTCAGTTTTTACTGTATTTTACTGTATATAAATGCAGCATTGGTGAGAAATAAAGACTTTAAACCTTTAAATGGCAGTGTACTGAATGATCATTTTCCATGATTTTATGAAGTATTTACAGAATTTCACCTTCAAAGTAACATGACTTTATAGATTCATAAATCACTGGATAAGACTTCAATTAAATTCAAATCTTTTTTGACACTTTACAATAATGTTCATTAGTTAACATGAACTAAGAATGAACAATACTTCATTTTAATCTCAACATTTACAAAAACATTATTAAAATCTTGTTAACATTAGTTACTGCAGTGTGAACTAACATGAACAGCTGGATTATTATTAACTATCATTAACAAAGATTAATAAACACTGTAATGTGTTCATTATGTTAGTAAATACATTAATATTTAACTAATGAACCTTTTAGTAAAGTGTTATCGATCGTTTTATGAGTATAACTAGAAACACGTAATACTGCACTCTAAACAATACTGGGTTGTTTTAACCCAAATCTGGGTCAAATATGGACTAACCCAAATGTTGGGTTAAAAATGCAATTTAAAATTTAATCCAACTTCAACTTTCACTTTCAACTGTCCATTTTTTTAATGGCATTTTTAACCCAACATTTGGGTTTGTCCATATTTGACCCATATTTGTGTTGAAACAGCCCAGTGTTTAGTGTACTTTAGCTTTGCTTCATATGTGTATGATTGTGCGGAAGAGCTGCAGATCACGACACAAGCAGGGTTTGTTATTGATGTGTTTATGATTCTGCGTGTGTTTCTCACTGATCGCCTCCGTCGGCACGACTCCAGCGCCGAGAGTTGGCGGGACACGAGCAAATTCCACACATCGGTGTGTGAGCGCTGGACGTGTAAAGGGTCACACACACACACACAGATCCTCAGCGCCTTTCATCTGCTTTACAACACACACACACACACACCATCAGCGACGAGAGATTAAAACACGTGTCGATTCCAACAGAAACACAACAAACATGGCAAATAAACCGAGAATCATTCAGTGCCGCGGTGTTCATTAATGACGCAGTGTTTGCAGGCTATTTTGCTATTTAAACGTTTTGTTTTTTAAAGAAATTCATACTTTCATTCATCAAGGACGCATTAAATTGATCAAAAGTGACTTTAAAGACATTTATAATGTTACGAAAGATTCAGATTAATTCTGTTCTTTTAAGTTTCTATTCATCATAGAATCGTGAAAAATAAAATGTATCAGTTTCCTCAGAAATATGAACTGTTTTCATAAATTTGATAAATCGACAAAATTTTGTCGAAATTTTAAAAGTTCTTCTTTTTAAAAGAAATTCATACTTTTATTCATCAAGGACGCGTTAAATTGATCAAAAGTGACTTTAAGAAATAGTATAATAATATTACCAAAGATCATATTTAAAATAAATAAGGGTATTGAAATTTTAATTCATCAAAGAATCCTGAAAAATAAAAATGTATCAGTTTCCATAAAAATTTGATGAATTGACAAAACTGTAAAAATTATATCAATTTTATTATGAAAGTGAAGTGGTGAGTGAACAGATCCTCTCTTCCTCTTTACTACTAGTTATAGCACCAATCACTATTAAATCATTAAAAAAAGTTAAGTGTGTGTGTGTGTGTGTGTGCGTGTGTGTGTGCGTGTGTGTATGAGTGTGTGTGACCTCGACGGCCTCTTATATAAGCACACAGATGGCGAGGCGTGTTTCTGGATGACAAAGAACAATCGCTGCTTCTTGATCACTGAGAGGCGTATCTGACAGCGCGCGTGTGTGTGTGTGTGTGTGTGTGTGTGTGTGCGTTCAGTCATCTCTATTCATTCACCTCAGACTATAACAGATACAGCACGCATCCAATCACGTTTAACACACTCATAAGCGGCTTCAGATTGAGAAGAGCAGTGGACTTCCAGTGGTCACACACACACACACACACACCCTCCATAAATCCACCTGTCCCTTCAATAAACACACACACACTTCCCGCAGTCGCACTTCATCAAGTAATTATTGTTTGATTACAGCGCTTCATTATAAGCTCTGATTGAGTCAAAGGTCGAGCATCATTGGTTGGTCCGCACTGAACATGAGCGCGCACACACACACACACACACCGCTCTGAAAGGGCTATGGCTTGAGGGAGAAGGGTCACACACACACTGATGATCTGATCACACATGCTTTATAAATCAGGAGTTTCCGGCAGCATTAACATTAAGGCCTGTTCACACCGGGACGAATTTCGCGCGTGATATTCGTCGACGTTTAACGCCTCGTGACCAAACAATGGGCGCCAATGTGAGTGTTGGCGAAAAACGCCACGCGTAAAAGCGGCATTTTTAAAAAAACTGCGTCAAAACCTATCCGACCAACGAGATCGGCGGGTTTGCTCACGTGTCTGGTACTTCCGGAGTTACAGTAAAACACAACTTGGGGGCGCTCAAACACAAAACGGTCTTGCCGAGCACACATAGCGAAGAAGAGATAAGATACCTATGGGCAAGATGATGAGCTGCTGGACTCGGAGCATATATGATAATATTTATATTAGTATTTCTGTAATAATAGTATAGTATAGGGTGACCAACAGAACTGTTTTCCCGGGACATGTGTAAAACGGTCACTTTGTGCTTTATAGAAATCTGAGTTGAGATGAGAACTGCGTAGTGTCAGTTAGATTTTGACAAGTGAGGAGAGGAGAACCGCTCTGCCGACTCTTTCTATTCTTTCTTTTATTTTATTTTTCTATTGTGACCAGATGTTTGTTTGTGTTTTTTTCTCTCGCTCGATCCCCATGTATGAGGAGGACGAGTGTAACGTTTGAGTGATTTTATTAAACGCGGGGAAATACGACAACTCTTGTCTCTCGTGCATCTGTTCATCCAGTGCTATGTTTTTATCTCTGGGCAACATCTCCACTTTGCGTTACACATGTCCTGTTTCCACGTCCTGTCCTGAAAACTGCTGGGAAAGATCAGTTCTACAGCAAAATATAGATGGGCAAACAAGGTGGACGAGGAAGAAAAACAGGATAAAGAGGATGAAAACTAAAGATATAAATAGATTTTGTTAGTTCGTTTTTGTAAGTTCGTGAGAGCTATTTTTTGTTACATTTGGAGGCATTTCTTTTAGTTATTTATTATTTATATATTTATTTTTCTAATACAGAAGACATTATTTCTATCATTATTTCATTCGGGTTTTTTTTATCTGTCATAATAAAACATTGAGACATGAATATGATCACCCTAGTATAGTATTCTATTATTATTTCTGTTTTACATTAAGCGCCATCTAATGTCAGGGAATGAATTTGCATGTTCACCTGGCTCATCGTCAGAGAAAAACGCTTGGGTGTGAACACAAAAACGCGTTAAAAAACGCTGACGAATAACGCGCGCTGATGTTCGTCCCGGTGTGTACGGGCCTTTACTGTGAAAAAAACATGAATATGGATATGTCTATGAGACAAAAGCACAATACTCTTATTGAGTAGACAGTCTGCATTAATATTTGTGGGCATGATTATCCATTGTGGTAGTTATGTTTGGGAACTATAAAACAAAATGTACCTCTTAGTAGCGTGTGTGTGTGTGTGTGTGTGTGTGTATGTGTGTGTGTGTGTGTGTGTGTGTGTGTGTGTGTGTGTAGCAGAGACAATGTGCATAGGGAGCATAAAGTGATATTGATGTTGGTCTCGGGTCGGGTTAGGGCTTGAACACCACGGGTCGGGTCGGGTTAGGGCTTGAACACCACGGGTCGGGTCGGGTCGGGTTAGGGCTTGAACACCACGGGTCGGGTCGGGTTAGGGCTTGAACACCACGGGTCGGGTCGGGTCGGGTTAGGGCTTGAACACCACGGGTCGGCTCGGGTCGGGTTAGGGCTTGAACACCACGGGTCGGGTCGGGTCGGGTTAGGGCTTGAACACCACGGGTCGGGTCGGGTTAGGGCTTGAACACCACGGGTCGGGTCGGGTCGGGTTAGGGCTTGAACACCACGGGTCGGCTCGGGTCGGGTTAGGGCTTGAACACCACGGGTCGGCTCGGGTCGGGTTAGGGCTTGAACACCACGGGTCGGCTCGGGTCGGGTCAGGGCTTGAACACCACGGGTCGGGTCGGGTCGGGTTAGGGCTTGAACACCACGGGTCGGGTCGGGTCGGGTTAGGGCTTGAACACCACGGGTCGGGTCGGGTCGGGTCAGGGCTTGAACACCACGGGTCGGGTCGGTTCTGGATTTTTCGGCTCTAGTGTTTGTACCTTGGAGGAAACGAGATGTCCAGCTCGTGAAGACGATCCTTAAACACACACAGCTCTCGGTCAAACTGTAGAAGCTGGAGACAAACACACAAACAAAGACAGTTATGTTAAATATATAATATACACACAATAGAGTTTATCTTTTTCAATTAAATTAAATTCAAAATTTCTTTATTGGCATGACTGTAAACAATACAATATTACAAATGCTTGGCATACATAGAATAATAAAAATAAAACAAAATAATAGAAGACAATATTATAACAACAAATTTAAATAAACAGTGTAACAAATTAGAACATGTGTGAAAACACACACACACACACACACACACACACACACACACACACACACACACTGAGCGTCACTGTGGTGGACTTTTTCCACTGACATCAAAACGATGAACTCATTAACATATGCCCACCCACATTTACATATCAACACTGATTCAGCATTCAGCAACTTCCTGTCCTGATGAACAAACACACACACACACACACACACACACACACACACACACACACACAGGTCATTTACATATATACAACAATTTGATTAAGCCAGAGAAGTGCAGCATTTGATCTCGACTCTGTGTGTGAGTGTGTGTGTGTTTCATGCACACGTATGACAGCTTCCGTGTCGTGTGCCGTGTCCGTGTGTGTTCATCAATCATTCCCAGCTGTCCTCTCTTTCTGAGACACTGAGACTCTAAAGTCATTAATCAAACGCTGCAGAATAATTAGCCTGGATGTGTACACATTAATTATGAGAAGAATAATCAACAGGTGTACATGACACCTTCACTGTATGTGTGTGTGTGTATCAGCACTAACTAATTAAGTCACACATAAACAAAAACTGCACAAATCAAAGGGAGTTTATTTATAGATCAATGACACACACACACACACACACACACACACACACACACAGAGTTGATTTTGTGCATGAAACTGCCTCCAGAAGAGTGTTTAATGTGAAAGAAACTCCTTTTGCTGATGTTCTAAAGATACAAACTAATTCATATGGTTTTTGAGTCAGTTATAAGTTATTATAATTCACTTTAACATGACACACACACACACACACACACGTTTATCTAAAGAAGCATGTCAAAGACATGTTAAAGTGAATTATAATAACTTCTGAATTCTGACTGAGTCAAAAAACATTTAAATTAGTTTGTATCTTTAACATGTCTTTGACATGCTTCTTTAGATAAACGTGCGTGTGTGTGTGTGTGTGTGTGTGTGTGTGTGTGTCATTATTTGAGCGTGCAGTGAGGTGTTCAGCAGCGCCTGCAGTTCAGGAGGGCATATGAACAACATTCATCACTTTACACACACAAACACACAGTTATACTTCCAGTGGCACATACATTTTTTTATACCCACCCACACTGATACACAAGCGTTTAGACGTCAACAGCTATAATGCAAGGTATATTTTATTAAGATATTTCATAATTTACGGCCCATTCAAGAAATAAGTGTGATATTGTGCATGTGTTGATGATGTGCATGTGATATTGTGCATGTGTTGATGTGCATGTGATATTGTGCATGTGTTGATGTGCATGTGTTGATGGTGTGCATGTGATATTGTGCATGTGATATTGTGCATGTGTTGATGTGCATGTGTTGATGATGTGCATGTGATATTGTGCATGTGATATTGTGCATGTGTTGATGTGCATGTGTTGTTGATGTGCATGTGATATTGTGCATGTGTTGATGATGTGCATGTGATATTGTGCATGTGTGCAATCGCGATTAATCGCAGCGAAAATAAAAGTTTGTGTTTACATAATATATGTGTGTGTAGTGTGTATAATTAATTTGTATATATAAATACCCACACATGCATGTATATATTTAAGAAAAATGTGTTATTAATATATCAAATATTTATATTTATATATAATATTAATTGTGAATAAATATATATATAAAATATATACATGCACATATTTCTTAAATATATACATGCATGTGTGGGTATTTATTTATACAAATTAATTATACACAATACACACACATATATTATGTAAACACAAACTTTTATTTTGGATGCGATTAATCGGTGCCCATCCCTAGTTGATGCACATGTGATATTGTGCATATGAATGTGTTGTTGTGAGTGTGTTGATGTAAATATGATATTGTGCATGTGATATTGTGCATATGAATGTGTTGTTGATGCGTTGTTGTAAATGTTGAGTAACTGATCGAGCCGCTAGAGACCCACACGCTGAGATTTCACACTACATTTGATGCGGGTCAATTAAGCGGAATGATTTGCTGCTCTGGTGGGTCACAGTAAACCCGTCTCACTCCAGCGTATCTGGAGCTCTCGATCCCTCAGCACCAATGACCTTGACAGTGTGTGTGTGTGTGTGTGAAGGAGACCAACATCCTCGAGCTCACAGCCGAACACCACATATAAATAAATAAAATAAACTCCTCCAAGCGTCCGGCTGGAAATCTCGATCTCAGCCCAATAAACACACGGCATCTTAAATCAGTTCTCGCCGATGGAGCGAAGGCAGAGTCACGGCGAGACCCGTGTGGGACGTCCAGCTCACCGGATCCTAACATAATTGTGCGTTGATTTATGTATCGTCAAATAAGAGCCCTGACAACAGCTGATGCCATTAAAGACCATCAATAAGAGCCGGGTGAGAGGTCATTTAATTTGAGTTTTACACCACACACTTTACTTTCATTGCAGAAGCCATATTTCCACTGTATTTATGACAAACATTATTTTCAGTATATACCAGTGGACATGAGCGCACACACACACACACTTACACACTCATACAAACACACAGAGACACACACACAGTTACACACTCATATAAACACAGAGATACACACACACACACACACACACACAATCAACTTTATACCTCAATGTTCAAAAGTTAAAGCCAATATAATATTAGCGCATGTTTGTGTAATTCATTGTAATTTTGGTGGTCAAATGTCAGGAAATTTTCAACAATGCACCGGGCAATGACACTTTACAATAAGGTTCATTAGTTAACATTAGTTATCTACCTTAGTTAACATGAACTAAGAATGAACAATACTTCTTAAGCGTAGTTAATATTAATTTCAACATTTACTAATACATGATTAAAATCAAAGGTTGTGTTTGTTAGCATTAGTTAGTGCGCAGTGAACTGACATGAACAGCTGGATTATTAACAACTAACATTAACAAATATGAACTAATACTGTAACAAATGTATTGCTCATTGATAGTTCATGTTAGTAAATACATTAATGTTAACTAATGAACCCAATTTTTCCATTTGATGTTTCTCTTTAGGTCTAATAAACATCAAAAGGTTTAGATATATGTAATAGGCAATAATCAATATGAATCTGTCTTTAAAAAGAAAGAAAACGCAGCATTTCAACACTGATCGATCTACAAACTACAGGATAATATTGTACAGAATCTGCTGATTATCATTTCTGAAACCTGTTTTTTTTTTAATAACCCAAATTGGGTTATCTTTAACCCAGTGTTGTGTTGAGAGTGAATGAAAGCACTGGAACTGGGCCGACATGATGGTCTCGGTGAGATCCTCGGCGCTCGCGGTGTCGGTTTGATTAGCGATGCTACGGCTTCCGCGCGGATGACAGGAGAAATATGGCGCGGGACGGATGAGAGGCTCCTGTTATTTATTTATTTATTCGGACTCTTAAAAACTGCAGTTTGAGCGATGTAGCGGTGTGTGTTTACGCATGAGGAGGAGAGACGCAAAAGTTCATCACTCGTTCCGGATTCCCTCGGATCCACCTGATAAAGTTTCAATAAAGAGACACTGAAGTAAAATCAATGAGAGTTAGTGGGCTTCCTTCATTCATTCAGCACACACACACACACACACACACACACACGCAGCCCCTCGACGCAACGGCCCGGCAGAAATTTAATCTTCCCAAATCCTCATCAGAGCGCTCCATCCTCAGCGCCTGACAGCCACACGGATAATTAATTATACAATTTCGATGGCTCTATCGACTAAACAAACCTATTAATCATCGCAAAAGTCAATAGGCATGGACGTATTCAATCATGTCCTGACCAATGATTACTCCTTTCAAAATACAATAATTATTTTCGAGAGCTGCCTCGAATTAAATTTCTGTCAAGCCGGTACAAGTCCAGTGTTTGATGAAGGATTCTGGGAGAACAGGGACATCCGTCGTTCTGGAGGCCAGTTTGTTTTCCAGGATCATAAGATGGTGTTTAAGTAGAGCATGACCATCAGATTATCTCTCTGTGCCATCAGAGTATCCATCACACACACACACGCACAAGCACACACACACAAACCCACATTCATACACTAGTGTTGGGCGATATGCTCCATTTTCATATCGTCCTATCGTCAGCCTGTGAGATCGGCGATACACGATAATATCGTGAGGGGGCGGGGCTAACTTATTTGATTATTAACTTGATTATTTAGCATACTCATTAATTTACTTGTTTTATTAGCCTAATTCGTTTTATAAACGAGAATCTTTTTTTCTATTTTGCTAGCAAAGGTGGAGTGTTTATTAATAGGATCAGGTTATTTCCTGGTATAGTGAGGTAAAAAAAGCAGTTAGCAGCACGTTAGCAGTGTGTACGGTGAGTAGGGATGGGTACCGAAACCCGGTATTAAACGGGCCCCGGTACTGAATTTTGAAAGACCGCTGTATCGATAAGCTCGGACGTTACCGGTTCTGCTGTCGGTACTGGAGAAATTAAGTAAATACAAGCAAGTTGGGCTACTATTTATTATTCCTATAAAGACGTTATCTTGAACATGTTTATATCGCCAGCCATTTCTATATATAAACTACATTTTAATTAAACCATTTGTCTGTGATGCAAATTTGCAATTCGCAGTTCAGAAGAGAGAGAGAGAAGAGAGAGAGCGATCTCTCACGCAAAGCCACGACAGCCCTGCTTAATGAGTGACAATGAGGACAGAACTGAACATTCAACGTAGTTACACTTTAGATCTGGGATATTATTCTAATATATTTTGTATTTCGGCTTCCAAAGATTATAAAAAGAAGATATTTGAGATAAAACCGTTAAAAAACAAAACGATCTGTCCAGCTTAACTTCCTTTACTTCACAGCACTGCGGAGCGCTGTCAGCTCTTCCTAAAACCCAAACGTACCGTCAGAATCAGCACGATCGGCGATTGTTGCAAAATGCTGTCTTCTACTGTTGCAAGATCAAGAAAATGACTATTAAAAACACAAAAACCTGCGCAAGAGACGCTGTTCACAAGGCGGTGCGCGCTCCGAAACGGACTGCAACGAGACAAGAAAAGTAGCTTATACTTTGGGCTTCGTGTGTCCTCCTTAACTATCAAATATACATACAAATGTCAAAATGACCAGCTCTGAGATTTATTCACTTAAACACAATTATGTCTTAAATGGACGTAAATAATAGGGAGAAAATGATGGCGCTTCAGTTACCAATTAGATTTGCTCTCGGTCTTAAAGGGGCAGCAGTCTAATAGCCTAAACCTGCTGACGATTCAGCCATTAATGCAAATCAAACAACAAAAGGCAGAGAAAATCACTCACAGCTCTTGAATGAGTAACTTTAGATTTAATAAGCATTATTCTATCTATGATAAACTATACAGTGCTTTTTTATATTTGATTATAGGTTTCTTTTCAGACAGAAACAATTACCTGAAAAGATATGTTAGTAGACCTTCCTGAAATTAAAGCACTTTGTATATAATTTGTATCTTTGATTTATTATATTCTTGTGTTTGTACTTGTTATATTCTCGTGTCCTTTTTGTATAAACAAAAAAAGCCTGATGCACACTGCTGCATAACAAAAATATATTTTTCTTCGTTTTGCTTTTTCTATTTTACATTTCAAAATATAAAGTTTAATTATGGTCTTAATTCTTCAAATAAATAAATAAATAATAAAAAACACCAAAAAGAACCGATAAGAATACCGTTAAAGTACCGGATCGATAAGCGGTATCGGTAAGAGTAGTAATACCGATAAAACCTTAACGATACCCATCCCTAACGGTGAGCGATAGCAGGTGTTAGCAGCGCGTTAGCAGTGTGTACGGTGAGCGATAGCAGGTGTTAGCAGCGCGTCAGCAGTGTGTACGGTGAGCGATAGCAGGTGTTAGCAGCGCGGCGTCAGCAGTGTGTACGGTGAGCAGGAGCAGCACACGGCCGTTCTGCTCTCACACTGCCAACGCTCGTTGCGCGATTGTGTTCAGACAGATGAGTGAGTTAGCGTTGCTTTATTTCCTTTTCAAATACATTTAGGAGAAAACACTTGTCAAGAAGCTACATTTATTAATAATTTTTTTTATATAACTTTTGGTTCATCTTTGTTTTTGGCCATTTGTTATCTTGTTAAATTGCTGAAGGTCATTTGATTGACAGTTTAAAACACAATAGATATCATTAATGCGCTTTTTGGGTAAAACTGCTGTGTATTTTGGCCTTGATTGTCACTTTAATTCAGTTTGAATTCATTGTAATATCTGTAACATTGTTGTATCTATAACATCTGTAACATCTGTAATATCTGTATCACATCCAGTGTTCATATAATCATCTTAAACTCTCCGTCAAACGTCTCTTTCAGAAACACAGAATCAAAGATTCATGCTTTTATAAAATAAACCCAAATGACATCAAGAGCTCGACACAAACCTGCATTCCATTGTTTTCCCGGAAAACGTCCTGGTTAATGTAGTTAAACATCTTCTTCTCCACCTGTAGGAGGACCTGAGACACACACACACACACGTCAATATCAATCTGAACATCATCTAATATGTGTGTGTCACTGATAAAGTTTTAAAGAATTCATTCTTTGAAAATATCTATCGTTTATCTATCTATCAAATAAAGGCTGTTCTTTTCAAATTTCTATTCATCAAATTGATAAGTTTCCTTAAAAATATGAACCGTTTTCAACATTGATGATAATCTATCTATCCATGCATCTCTCTCTCTCAGTTGAACAGATGTCTGAGTGTTTGATTAGAGAGTTTCCATCAGTGATCTGAGAAGCGCTTCACCTTGTGGTCGTTGTCGGACTCTTTGAAGATCAGTTTCTGCACTTCATTAGTGTCAGCGGACTTCACCGTCTGCATGGTGGCGGTCGAGCAGAGACTCTGAGAACAGGACGAGACACCAGATATGAATATCACAAAAACAACCAGAAACACACCTGACAACAACACGTCTGAGGAGCGACACAGGCAAAAGGAGCATCTCTCTCCATTTCTTTCTCTACGCATTGACCTTAAAGACTGTGTGCACGGTTAAATTCCCTTTTGTCGACTCTTTTAACAATTAGTTAAACATTGGGCCATCTGTGTTTGAGGACAGTTGAATGAGGTAATCCTTGATGTGGCAGTTCCCAGTGCCGAGAACACATTGAAATTCAAAGCACAGATTAGCTAATCAGGTCAAGCCAATAAAACCGGCAGGAAAAACCCCTTCGGAGGGAAATGTCACAAACCCGGCGCTTGGAGAAGAGAAGCACGACGGATCAGAACAAACAGACCTTAAGCCTCTCTCTAAAGAGCCAACAAATCGCTCCATCTTTCAGTGGTTTGGGCTCTCGGACCCCCGGGCTAATGCGCTTTGCTCTCATTAAGCTGATTTTGTGGTGAATAGACCCAGAAAAACAGCTCAAAAGACACTGAGATCTTGAGTCGCGCCGCCACAAATCTCGCATTTCATTCGCTTTTGATTTTGATCACCAAAACGGAGAAAGAAAAACAAATGCTGGAAGACTCAGACCCTGAAACGGTAAAAGCATCAAATCTGCTCATATTCTGGAGGACGAGATCCTGTGACACGGACCCACTATTACATTATATTATAGAACACTGAATATTTGGTCAGCAGAAAGAGACAACAATCCATTATACAGTTTAGACACATCAATATTAGACAAAAAGAATCATTAAAAATGACAAATCACAAACAAGTATTATATAGGGACCAGAAAATATAATCAAAAATATTGACAAAAAGCACTTAACACAAAACATTTTTTTAATAATATAATTAAATATGTAAAAATATAATAATATATATTTTAAATATAAATATATTATACATTGAATAATAATATATCTATGTACAGTATATGCATATATATCACTATATTGACATAAATAAATAAACAATACATATATATTTATATATTTAATAAATATACTACAATAAATGTTAAATAATTATACATCTATATAGTATATGCATATATACACAATTTTTATGTAAAAATATTATACCATTAAAAAAATAAAAACCAAAAAAATATCTATTTTTCATCTATCATATATATATATCATATATATATATATATATATACACACACACATATATATATATATATATATACACACACACACACACACACATATAATAATATAATATTCATATGTATAAAATCAGATCTGTGGAGTGGTACTATGGTCATCTTTATATCTTGCTACTGATTTATAATCTTAATCAGATCTTATCACTGTATACAAACTGTCCAAAAACATGTTAATGCCACAATCCTCTGGTATATGACAACAAATTAAAGCAACTCTGAACATGTTATAGCCTCACAAC